ACATAAATCTGAGTGCCCTTTTGCCCCATCAAAGCCGATCTTGGTGGATTGCCCAAATCAAGTGCAGCTCTTGCTTCTTAAATTTGTTCATTTATTCTCTTAGATGGGCATACAAATGAAGTGATATGCTCTTCCATAAAATGATTGTATCACATTATTCATACGCTCGTTTAACAGTATCATAAAGACCACATCATATGTGCACTTATTCAATATCAACAAAAAACAAGTGCCTTAGTATATAAAGGAAACGGAAAATGAAACATAATTCATAGATCAATTCAATTAAACCCTCTCAAGCACTTGCTTAAAAAAAAGGAGGAATCTCATACAAATACCATGGAATAACGTTTAATCTAAATCATGGGGATTATGTAAATATTCCATTTCAAAAATATAAAGTGAAACAATTAGGTCTTTTTTGAAGATTGGTACTAATTCAAGATCTAGCATGTACAAAGTGAAAACCTCATTCTCGATTTTGTGAGAATTCTTAGGAAAGCATCCAACATAATCATGAAGAGTTTTAAGTGAAACAAACATAATCATATGAGACATGGATATTCATTAAAACAGACAATAAAAATGAATATACATGCACGAAAATTTTAATCAACCAAGCATACAAATGATATTCTTCATATTCTTCCTCAGATATTTTCCAGACCAAAGACATTTTTTCACATTTTCCACAAGCATGAGATGCAAGGCCATTACTTTTTCATCCTCAAACAGGTATCGTTGGTCATAATTGTGTTTACAGAAAGATATTAAGGTAAAACGTTTTTTTTTTATAAGAAAGAGAAGTTTGTCAATTATTGTGCTATTCTAGTTAACATGTAACATGTAACACAGGAACAAACCTCACTTCTCAAGGAGCATTTCTATGAACTCATTATTTGACTTCAGCTTCTCATCTTCCACTTCCCCAGATTTTGGATTTGTCGAGGGCACACCAAGTGGTCTGACATTCCTTGGCATTGCAAATGTGTTCCTCCCTTTCAACTGAATGTTACCACAACTTTTATTAATAGCACGGACTACCTGAAAGTTTGATTACTACTTTCTACTGCCATTTAACACAAAGGAGTAAGAAAGTAAAATGTAGAAGTGGGAAACACAAACATACAAACATCTATAGACTGCATTGCACACACAAACACACACACACACACAATAACAAAGATAAAACCTAATTCCACTTAGCCTACCATGTTCTCCAGAGGCCCCATGACCAGCAGAATCCTTTCTCTTTTGCTTTGGATTTAATCTTGCAATGCTTATCTTCTTCCCAAGAAACATTTGTTTGTTCTTTCCTATAGCTGTAGTAAGGTGCGCATCATTAGCAAAATCCACATCTGCCAGGCCCTTCAAAAATCGACCAGAGGATATTATAAATTAGTATGCAACGGTTCCAGACATAAGGCAAGCTGGAATATGGGTAAACCTATATGGGACTATGGTTGAGTCTCCTAAGCATATCACTTGCTATCAAAATGAAAAAATATGCTTTTAGACAATTAGACTCTTTATACATAGAAAATTAAGTAATTTTACCATAATTATGGAATTTAACATTTTGCAGGTTTATTTGAGACTACGTAATTGTCTTTGGCAAGGACATTCATCTTAAAACCAAAACCGTAAGAACTAAATGATTTATTGACAGCATGAAAAGAACAAATCAAATTGGAGTTTCAGTGAGCACCCTTGAGAAATTTGATCAAAGAGAATTGACTGCATTTAGCATTTTCTATCTCCCCGAAGCATCAGCCATGCTGATCTCCCAGTCTCATTAAAATTAGTTTCTTAGGGCTACTTTCTATTGTACAATCCACATTATGCATACATATGTTGAAGTTTAAAGGCCAGGCAATGTTAAATAAGGATTTGACTGTAAGACTGATGTGCACATGGAAGGTCCAGCGGATAGCTTCCTCTTTTTCATTTGAAGCATAATGCACAAAGAACATTAACAAATAATGAATGAAAGAAAGAGAGTCATACCCTTGACTTTCCGATGAACTTCTCCTGCAGAATTCGAACAGATTAAACCCCACCAACATTGCTAAAGAATTTTTTCAGATCTTCAGAAGTTGCTTGAAAAAAATTTAAAACTATCAGAATTATCTCTTTGTATTTGCCTATCTAGCATTAAAAAACAATAAAAAGAAATCTCTCTCTAAAGTGCGAGAGAATCTTTACTTGCCCTGAATTAAGGTTTGATAAAAATGCAGTACACTCGTCAGTGTATACTTTGGCTCTTCCAATGGTGGTGTCTTTAATGTACTGGTCATTTGGATGCTCTTCAAACTTGGGTTTTGCTTCTTCTACTTCATTTTCTTTAGCTAAGTTCTGTGCTCATCCCTTTTCTTTCCCATGCACTTTGTTTGGGATTTGGGTAGTATTTTTCTGCCATTTAGCTGGAGATTGTTCGTCAGTCATGTTTGAATCTGTTTTACTCTTTCCATTAACACTTTTCTTATGCAACTTCTCTTTCTGATCTATTAGTTCAAGAACATATTTGGCTTCCTACTGTAACCTAAATAGTTGCAGCTCTTCCAAGCGGGGTGTAATATGAGAAAGGGAACAAAGACAAGCATCTTTACGCATTGAGTTAAAATAGCAAGGTGATTTGGTCATTTTGCTTAATAGGCATGACTCGCATACCTCATAAGACTGGAAGTCATATGGGTCCAAAACTTTATCTTGTTGGAGCTTTGCAATGCGAGTTTGATCCTAATCTGCAATGTCAAGGATACGTTTGGTTTAGATCACCATATTTGGCTTTCTTGGTTTCTAGATTAAGAACTTCCTTACTACTTAGTTCTAGAACATATAAACCATTATGTAAATAAGCAATTCTGTAAAGCATACCATTTAAATTAAAAGACATCAATCCATTACCAATAGTAAAATGGTATATTTGTTCATCCAAAATGGATATAGAAATAAATTTATTCTTTGAAAGTGTTGGAACATAATAACAATTTAATAGTTCTAAAACTAGGCCCGTATGCAAAGATAAATAATAAGTTCCTAAGGCTAATGCAGCAACACGCGTTTCATTCCCAACTCATAGGTCCATCTCTCCTTTGGTGAGCAATCTACTCTACTTTAGTCCCTACACATTAGTACAAATTGGAAAACCATATCTAGAGTCTATGAACCAAGATGTAATAGAAGATAGACTGATCTCAATCATAAACATACTTGTTGAAGAAGATGTTGACTTCCTTTTGTTTGCTACGAAGGCCTTAAAGTGTTTCCTCTAGTGGCCTGACTTTCTACAATAGAAGCAAACAACCTTCCCATCCTTACTAATGCCACCAATAGACTTTAGAGCATCTTGGGACTTAGGACTTGGGCTTTGGTTTGGGCTTGGCCTTAGCCTTACCCTTGCCTTTGCCCTTCCCTTACCAGTGTCAACAGCAACTAATAAAATTGGTTTAAACTTCTTAATGTCTTGTTCTACAGTCCTAAGCATAGTTAAGAACTCATAATGGGTTTTCATCATTATACATCGAAATTCATTATGAATGGTGCAAACGAATCAGGCAAAGACTGCAAAATCAAGTCAATTTACAAATCAGCATCTATGCCAAAACCCAAAGTCTCAAGTTTCTCAATGTACCCAATTATCTTGAGTACATGAGGACCAACTGGGGCACCCTCTAATAATCAACTCCTAGACAAAGTCTTTGATACCTCATATCTCTCATGACAAGCTTGTTCTTGGAAAAGCTCCTTGATATGATAAAATAATCGCATTAGCATCCATCTTTTCATGTTGCTTCTGTAATTCAAGTTTCATCAATGTTAGTATAATACATTGAGTAGTATTATTTTTGGTAAGTATCCTTGACTTCCTGAATGGCATTAGGACCCGACTCAGTTGGATAAGGCTCATGATGATATATAGTTTCTTTTCTAACTTCAGTACAATCCTTAGATTTTGATACCAATCCGTGAAATTTGTACCAGCCAACATGTTTTCTTTCTTGATTATTGATTGTAATGAAAGGTTATTGTTGCTCATTTTAGTATAAATCTACAAGTGCAAAATAAATAAAGTTAATATCATGTTTATTTTAATTTATTTAATTAGGACTTTAATTAAATTAAACACTCCTACTATTTTACTCAAGCTAATAGCCTTCTCTATTAAACTGGGGAAGACCTGTTGGTCTTCCTAGTGGGTCGAGATCGCATCAACTTCATTTTTAAACCTCCACTGAGGCAAACAAACCAAAATGGATTGATTAGATAGGTCAACAAACTTGATTTACACCAATCAGCGGCACCAACCAACGACCTCAAATGTAAGTCATATCAACAAACCAATTACACAATTCAATGGCACCAACCGTTGTCCTCAAGTGTAATTCTTGGATTAGTAGAGTGGACACTACTTGCCCCACATACACCAAGTTGAACAAGCAAAATATGTTACTTAAGTCGAACCCATAACTATTAAGGAAAAACTCCAGTGAATCTTAATCTCCCATTGGTTGAAGTGTACCTTTTATTGAGGCAAACAAGGTCACGACGAACAGTGGTTTGATTAAGACCATAGTAATGGAAGGCATCGGGTTATTATTTCGACTTAATATCATTTAATTGAGGGGCTTTTATTAGGTCTCACCATTTGTTTTTTTAATCATGTCAATAAAATATTCACCCTTGGCATGCATACTAAGCATATATAAAATGTGTTGATACATGGCCTAACTAAAACCGATATCCTTAAGCCTAGAAAGATCGGCGAGTCAACCTAAGGTCAAATGCAAAACATCTTGAGTCTTCAGGCTTGCTTGCAACTCCATCGCTCCATTGCATCATCATCACGTACATTACAATATTTCAAAATTAAATTAAACCTAATCTATTTTTACATAATGAAATCAGAAACCTCAAGTACATTCCAGGGGAGTGAGATGAGAGAATGAATTTACATAGAGAAGATAGAGAGAGGCAACACACGCGGACCCTATTTTATTTAAAAATATTACAACCCAAAAATAAAATGCATTATCAAACATCATAGGTTTGAGGCTAATGTATCGAGCACCATGCAATTTCATACACTAGAACATTGCATTCAATCAATCAAAAACATATTTTGATTTGGTCTGTAAAATATTGTTTACCCCCTCATAATTTGTAGATTTGATAGGTCCAATAGTTTTTAAACTTTGCAGTTTAATCCCTGTTCATGGACGTCAATAATTGGGCCACCAGATTATCTCTTATGTGCTAGGACACATTGTCAACCATCATGCAAACTTACGTGCGTCAATCATCAACCCAAAATTTTGGTCCACATGTGCCATTACGCAGGCTGCTCGTAAAAGCTCTCGTGCGCAACAACAACGCACGTGGGCAGCAACTATTTTATTACTTTAAGATGTGTCCTTGCGTATGGCACAAATAGCAAGTCAATTGACTCACTATATTCTCAAAAATCCACAATTTACGAGCACACAGTCTGACCACATGCATTAACATGCAGTCAAACTGGTTGCTCGTAAATTGAGCAAAACCCTTTTGCTGCATGAGCAGAAAAACCCGTGCAGCCAGTTCCGATCAACCTTGTCACATGCAACGCCACGTGGATGGCGTCCCCAAACCTGTTCGCTCGCTACAACACGCGAGGGAGCAAGTTTACGCGGACAGCCTGCTTGCTGCCGCAAGCGGGACTGCTGTGCACAACAATGTGGACAATCTCATCTCCTCACTTTAGTGACGATGTTAAATTGTCTAATTATATAATGACTTGTATTTGCCATATATATGTCAAAATCTCTTTCATCCAAGTGTTGGCATTATTCAAGAATAACCATCCGTTATCATTCTTAACAAGCACCACCACTCCAGGCAAATTTGAAATCTTGTTCTATTGAACTATCTCACCCCGTTAGTAACATGGGGTCGTGATACTGTCTCATGTATACTCCTAAATAAGATTGCGAACGTCAAGGAGTCGTGCTTTTCGTTGGGGGATGCTGCTGAGAAAGAAAAGGAACTTCCACCACTGTCCCAACAATGTTCTCTCTCACAATGACCGTCTCTCCTAAAGCAACTTGCTTCTTAATGTAGCCTAAACCAAAATGATCAGACTCTTTTCTTCCGTCAGTTTCCCCACCTGCACATAATTCATGTTATATGTTATTAACAAGGAGGTTGTGAAAAATCTACAAAATGGAGAAATAGCTAAAATGTGACCATGCCAGAGAAATATTTCACAAATTTGTATATAATTTTCTCTACGTTGAAAGGTAGATGACAAGGAAATGAATTCTACCTTTTTCCCATCAACCATTATTGCGCTGTCAGGCTCTACTGGTGCTGAGAGGCAAATTCCCCATAATCTCTGCTTAACTCCGTATGTTATGAGCTTAGAAACGGTCTCTTGTCCCTTATAACATCCTGAGATTGTTTAAGAGTCAGGTCAAACTTCTTTTTATCTTGCTAAATGTATGTTCAGTAAAAAATGATACCTTTGTTTAGAGAAACTGAGTTCCAGAGACCAGCCTCCAGAATATTGAATTCATTAGTAAGCTCCTTTCCAGGTGTTGGCCTCCCTGCAAAAAGCAAGAAAATTGTCATCACAATGCCTTTCTTAAAATGCAAACTAAATGTTGTTTGGTTGAGAACAGATACAAATTTTCGAACATGAACAACCATCTAAACTGAAAAGCAACTTGCTTCCAAGCTTTTTGTACCATTTAAGTTTCCCCCATGATTTAGGCAACAACTAAAAATGCTGAAGAAGCTAAATCTTTTATCATCATATTATTGTCCAAGCAATCAGCAAAGACTTTAAATGCATTACTCGAAGATAAGTAACAGTACCGAATGATTAACTTGAACTCTTGTAATTAGGGAATAACAATAGTTTGTTTGTTTCTCTTTTTTTTTTTCCTTGTTTTTCTTTTCTTTTTTTCTATGGTTTAAAAACTTAAATGATTCCGTTAATTCATTTGCACTTGAACTTTTTAAGCTAGATTAACCAAGAATTTTGATTTAACAGTGTTTGAGGCTGAAGTTTTATTCTCTTGAACAAGAACATGCAAGAGAGGATGTTGTATAGTTTGAATTGCAACGAGACCTTGTAAAAACAACCAATATTTATTCTCTTCCATTTGATCCTACTGGTTAATTTGCTTCACGTAAAGTAACAATAAAGCTAAAAGTTCACTGGAAAGCTAAAATAACAGTAGGCAATAACAAAGAGATTTAAAGTTCAACTGCATCTATTAAACAATTATTTCAGATGTGAAACTTGAAAACTTTCAAACATCAAATGCGAGGAAGATTTTGGAAATGTTTTAAGTAAAACAAATCTGCAAAAAAGAAAAAAGAAATGGCAAGTCAAACCAAGAAGTCAAGAATTAATCACCTTGAATAACCCTTAGTTTTTCCCAGGCATTAGAACCCATCAGAATAGTACCAAGAGATAAAAGAATGCCATTCACCTGAAATGGGAAAAAAAGTTCTTTTCATATTTCATTGCATCAAAAAATCTCATGTTATTGTTCCAAATTTACAAAACTACATGTACTATTCAAATTTCATCTTATTGCCAATTTGAGGATTTCCTGCATTCAACATTAGATTTTAGATTGCAAATTGCTTTATATTGAGGAATATTCATTCTTTTAGGTGGCTCTAGATTTTGGAGAGTTATGATTTATATTTTACACATGACTTCCATGATTGATTATTATTTCGTGAATAAAAACCTGTTGGGATTTTATTCCTAAAGCATGTCTAAAATCATGAGATGTGTTAATGTTTGAATGATTGAAAAAAAGAATTTATCTTTTCAAATCCCTATGTAGAAATTAATTGATTGAGCATTACGAAGTTCATTAGCAGTAAGTTTACAAATCTAGTTTAAAAGCATCTTGCAGTTAAAAATCTAGAAGACCATTCACTCTTACACTATAATGTCGATGTGTGCCATATGCCTGTCCAACAAGATCACTGAGGTTCAAACTGCTCATTACCTGTTTGCACACCACAACTAGGTCAATGTCATCATCACGAAATCTCTATCTCAATGACAAATCCAGGAAAGAAAAATAATCATTTATCAAAAATATACTTACTGTGTTGCTTTTAGGTCCCAATAGAATGAATAAGGAAGTTTGCTTGGTGATGTCTTGAATTTCTACCTTGTCAGCAAAAAATATGAACCTAAAACACCGGGAAGAAACAGGAAATTTTACACGAAGAAAAGTTTTAACTTAATATTTTTAAATTAGTGCCAATCAAGCTGGCATACTATGTAAAAACAAGAAGAGAGGCAATTTATTAGGTAATTTTCTTCAACTTTGTGTTCTTTTGATAAAGAACAAAGACAAGGCTGGCAGACTAAGGATATCTGCCAGCATAGAAAATTAATTAGTAAATCTGGAGGAAATAGAACACATACTTATTGAGCATGTCACTTATGCTTCCACAGGTCAGCGGTGAGACCACCAACATGATAGAATTTTTCTATGAATGCCATAGAAATCCTAATGAGTTGACAAAACTATATTGAATTATTAAACAGCAGAAAAAGAAAGCTTTATAGGAGAAACATGATGAAAGAGATTACCATGAACCAAGCATGAGCAATATCTATTGTCCGAGCTGTTGGTGTAATAAAAACAGTGTCACATCCCTACGGATTTCAATCGAATAAATCCCATCAATTAACCCCATATGACTGCATTAAAAAATAAATATACAAAATGATGTTTGTGTTTCTTTTTTTTTTTTTTAACAGAATCAAACAGAAGGACATGTAATCAAACTTACTTGTCTTTCTCGAAGATTTTCAAAATTTGCAGTGCTTTGATTGTGAAGTAACTGAATACGATCATCTCCACTGACTTCAAGATAATTGAACCCATATTTGACAATGTAAACAAACATTAGAGCAGCATTCATAGAAAACCTTAAATATTTGCAAACCTCTTTTAAATAAATTGGACTCTCAATAACCAAAGAATAAACACACCAGAAATAACAATTAACTGTAAAAGTCCATACATTAATATAAAAAGTAAAAAATATAGGAACACCTAAAATATATAAAACAAAAAAGTAAAAAATAGAGGAGCAGCCTTTTGAGTAATAGAGACGAAGACCTTGGCTGATGTAAGCCAATATCACCTAATTTGTCTGATAATCATACAGACTACTGTGTTTACAGCAGCAAACAGCTGTTTATGCTACTGAAAAGTGAAACATGATGCAATGCAAATCCAAGCTTCAAACCATTAAATTAAAACTTTTCATTCAAGACTTAAAGACAATTAAAAATACTATTTATTTAAGAGAGAGAGAGAATCATCATTTTGAAGACCACTCAAAATATACACTAGTGTCATAGGCCAAAACTTCATGGCACAATTATAAAACTAAAATGAAAATAACATGCTCATTAGTTTTGGAAAGAAAACTTTCAACGATAGTGAACTAAATGCCCCACCTGTCAAGAAATTTCTGAAAGTGTTCAGAAGAACAAAGAATATGATACATGTATGGCTAAAGTACCAGGGAAGAATGTACCTCTTATCCTTCCAAAATGTGAAAGATCCACCACCTAGGTCATTATTCAAAGATGAATCAATAATGGCAATGGTTATCTACTCGTTACAGAATTTTTTGAAAAATAAACACCATAAATTCTGACAAGCCCATAAAACAAATTAATAACAAAGTTTAGTCAAATTGAACATGATCAACAGAGATAATATCAATTAGAGGCATGACATCAACTCAATATCTGAAGTTAACAAGGAATTGTTCATTTCACCATCATAGGGACATTATTCTTGCCAACTCGTCTCCAAACCTCCTGGCTTGTCATCTAGCTTACATAACCAAAACCAAAAGCAACTCTCAGGAAAAATACAACTCAACCTAAAATCTGATATCAATTTGTCCCTATGCATAATCAATTTCCTACTTACCATCTTTTGCATTCAATTCACATTTATACAAAAAATTACATTGCACTCAGCATATCACTTGAGTAACAAAAATGTAAATGCAGAAGTCCAAAAGACATGCTTTCAAACCTAAGCCACATACCCAAAAATTTTCCTATATAGCAATTAAATTCAAACACACAAAAATAAAATTAAATTAAAGTAAAATATATAAAACTTGAGCTAATATACTTGAACGGGCTTCAAATGTAATAAATTCAACTAGTTCAAAGTAAAATATAAACATTCTCAATAAACACTCACTGCAACCCCATTTTCAACTGCATCCAGAGATTCATCATCATTGCCGAATGTTTCAACAATCCCATTTTCCGAAACCCCTGCCCCTGCACTCTTCACTTTGTCCTGCAAAGAACCCATCTGGCAACTCTCTTGTTTTCATGTTTTTGTTTAATTAAAAAAAAAAAAGGGTTTTCAGTGAATCTTATTAGGAGGTCGTGATCAATTGGAGGAGGCGAGAGATTGAAAGGCAAGGCCGCAATTGGCTGAAAACTTGTGCTTTTTAATGAGAGCGTAGTAGTGTTCTTCGTCTTGTTCTTGCTCTCCTGATGATGAATGAAACTGGTGCCGTTTAGGAAATTGCGAGATGATAGCGAGCGCAGATGAGTTGAGAAAGGTCTTGCTGGTGCTGTTGTTGCCATTGCCGGATTTTTGGGATGGCGGAATATACTGAGGAAGTGGATATTGAGGAATTTTTTAGGACTTACTTTTAGTTAGAGTTACCATAAACCCCCTGAGGTATGAAATAATAAAAACATCTCCATGAGGTTTTTGAAATAACAAACATTCTCCCACCGTTAATAAATCAATAGTGAGCTGATACTAAACTTTACAATATTGTAAGTGAAGATAACCAAATTACCCTCTCACAGATTATTTTTAACATTTAAAACTTAGTAGTAGGAGAAATTCTATTATTTTCAAAACTTCCAAGGGATTTTACTATTTCATCATACATCAGGGAATTAGTGTATTAACTCTTTTAATTATCACAAATATGAAAAGAAAGGAAAAAAAAAATTCTGATTATTGTCACGTTTTAGTTTAGGGTATTGACTCCAAAAATTAAGTATTGAATTTGTATATGATGCTTTCGTTTTCAAAATACCAATAAAAAGTTTTAATGTGATCTATGTGGCGAACAATTATGATCAATGGTTTTGTTGCTATTTGCTGATACCTGTGCCGAACCATTTTTATCATAATGTTGTTGACGATTGTACTCTATAATTGTAGTCAATTGTCGAACCATTATGTTTAATTATAAGAGTTGAGATGCAAAGCTATTTAGATTGTACAATAAAATTACAATAGACCATCTGTCAACATTATCCATTTAACAATTGTAATATTGTAGTGTCCTTTTTAGTTAATACTATATGAAAAGTTTATTTCATGTTGTTCATCATAATTGTTGCAAGCAAGTTGCCTACCAAAATACAATCAATAAACATATCAAATGAAGATTGTACTATAGAATTACAAGAGACCAGATGCTGAACCATTATTTATTGTACTATATAATTGTAACAGTTAGTAGTAAATTGGTCATAACTTGCTCAATCACAATTCAATGGACAAGCGGTTTGAATCTTTGGAAACTCAATAGACAAAGCTTTAATTTGATCTATTATATGCTAAATTTGGATAACTGTAAATCCACTGTCGAACCATTCATTTTATCATCACACATATTTTGTTTTCCCATATTTCTCGGTTTCCAATTAACAGTCAGTAGTAAATTAACTATAACTTACTCAACACAAATCCAATTGATGAGCAGTTTGAATTTCTAGAAACTAGACAGACAAGGCTTTAATTTAATATATTAAAAGCTGAATTTAGATAGACCCACTGCTGAACCATTCATTTTATCATCACACACATTTCAGTTTGCCCTGTTTCTCGGTTCCACTAAATAGTTAGTAGTAAATTGGTCATAACCTGCTGAATAAAAATCCGATTGACGAGCGGTTTGAATATTTGGAAACTAGATAGACAGTAATTTGATATGTTATATGCTAAATTTTAATAACTGTAAACCCACTGCTGAACCATTTACTTTCTCATCACACACATTTCAGCTTCCCCTATTTCTCAGTTTCCACTTAACAGTCAGTAGTAAATTGGCTATAATTTGCTCAACAATAATCCAATTGACAAACGGTTTAAATATTTGGAAACTAGACAGATAGACTTTTAATTTGATATAGTATACACTAAATTTAGATAACTATAATCTCATTGTCGAACTATTCATTTTATCATCACACACATTTCGATTTCTCCCGTTTCTCGGTTTCCACTTAATAGTTAGTAGTAAATTGGCCATAACTTTCTCAATAAAATTCCAATTGACAAACGATTTGAATATTTAAAAACTAGATAGACAAGGATTTAATTTGTTATATTATATGCTAAATTTTGATAACTATAGACCCACAGCCAAACCATTTATTTTATTATCACACACATTTCGGTTTCTCCCATTTCTCGGTTTTCACTGAATAGTTAGTAGTAAATTGATCATAACTTGCTCAATAAAAATCTCACTGACAAACGGTTTGAATATTTGGAAACTAAACAGATATGACTTTAATTGGACATATTATATACTAAATTTGGATAAATGTAGACCCACGGACGAACCATTCATTTGATCATTATACACATTTCAGTTTCTCCCATTTCTCAGTTTCCACTAAACAATCAATAGTAAATTGACCATAGCTTACTCAATAAAAATCCAATTGATGAGCAGTTTGAATATTTGGAAACTAGATAGACAATGCTTTAATTTGATATCTAAATTTCAATGACTATAGACCTACTTCCGAACCATTCATTTTATCCTCACACATTTCGGTTTCCTCATTTTCTTAGTTTTCAATGAATAGTCAGTAGTAAATTGGTAATAACTTGTTTAATAAAAATCTAATTGATGAATGGTTTGAATATTCAAAAACTAGACAAACATGCCTTTAATTTGATATATCATATGCTGAATTTGGATAACTGTATACCCATAGCTGAACCATTCATTTTATTATCACACACATTTTGGTTTCCACTGAATAGTCGATAGTAAATTAGTCATAACTTGCACAATTAAAATTCAATTGATGAACAGTTTGAATCTTTGAAAACTAGATAGGCAGGGCTTTAATTTGATTTATTATTATCTAATAGAAAAACAATGAGCCACCTTCCCGAGCATCGACGCTTCAATACTTCCACAGGCTGATAGCAAGCAAGTTATTGTAACATTGTTTGGCTTCATCCCTGCTATCTACATCTCTCTAAAAAGTTCCAATGCCTCGATACCGTTCCCATTTTGTGAGAAACCAGCAATCATTGACGTCCAAGACACAACATTTAATTCCACTCCTTGGCTTTGGAATTGCCTAAAGGCCTCCATTGTCAGAGACGGGTTCATGAACTCTTTTAAAGCATCAAATCTTCCTGTAGACTCAATGTTAGTGACCTTCCAGGTCGCGTCTGCGAATGATTACCTAGAACTGCAGGTGGTAGTTTTTCCATCTGTTAATGGTCTTCTTAACAAAACAAATTTCTCTCTTATCATCTCTCAACTCAACAACATAAGTTTTGTCACTCTCCAACCAATTTTTGAACCCTTCTATTACAACTACAACATTAATTATTATCAAGGTAAGAACAAATTTTGTTGTGTCCTATATCATTATCATAGGAATTCATCTAAATTTCATAGAGCTTATAAGGGAAATTGATGGTGTCTCATCCCTTTCCAAATGTTATGCAAAGAAAAATTCACCAAATATTGGAATAATCATTAGAGTAATAGTAGGTGGATTTATACTTCTAGTACTATTACTTAAAAGTTCCTATGCCATACTTGTGCAACATCTTGGGATCTAAATGACCCTCCTAGCCGTCCTCGGATCAATGGTGTGAGATGTTTCTCCTTTCAAGAGCTAAAGAAATGTACCAAAAATTTTTCAAACACCAACATTCTAGGATCTGGAGGTTTTCGACAGGTTCGTTCGCTTGTTTCTTTGCCATTGTTCCCTTTAAAAATTGAGTATGAATTTTAATAGGATCCTTACTTCAACAAACATATGCGATAAAGTTTCTAATATGACAGCATTAGTCACTTTCCTTTAGCATGCGTTGCTTGTCTTGCAAGCAAAAGTTGCTTTGAACTTTTATCTTGTGCCTTGATAATTTTTTAATTTATAATGACATGTTCTCCAGGAAATGGATTTCCAAAATATTCACATGTAAGAAGGCTTGAAACGAGGTTAATAGTTGCAATTAAAAGAGCTAAGCAGGGATCATTGTTGGGTCGAAATGAGTTTAAAAGTGAGATTGAACTACTATCAAGGGTTCATCATAAAAATGTTGTTAGTCTTGTGGATTTCTGCCATGAGCAAGGAGAACAGATGCTGGTTTATGATTTCATTTAGAATGGTACTTTAAAGGATAGCATCTTAGGTACCTCATTCGCACTTCTGTCACATACTTTATCATATACTCCATTTATGATCATCACTAGCCAAACTTAATTCTAAGTCAAATGGGATTAACAACATAAGCCAAGAGCATAAACATAAAAATATATAATATGTTGTCTTCATCTAATTTGACAATGCAAGAAAATCAGGAATCCGGTTAAGTTGGATATGGAGACTAAGAATAGCCCTTGACTCAACAAGTGGTTTGGCATATCTGCATGAGCTTGCAAATCCAACAATTATAAACAGGGACATCAAATCAAATAACATTCTACTTGATGATTGCTTAATTGCAAAATTTGCTGATTTTGGTCTATCGAAGACATTGGGGGGCTGTGAAAACAATCAAATTCTTACTTATGTCAAAGGGACCCCAGTAAGTATAGCAACATCCTCCAAAACTTACACTAGCAAGTAGCAAAAATGAAGTTTAATTTTCTATATCTATGTTAATGAAGTGATGAATTATAACAAGTAATAAGCTTGTTGGTTAATGGATTTGAGTTCAGTGAACATTATACTATAGCATTGTAGAAGTTTGCCTGAGAAAAGAATTTCTTTTTTAATGGTGCATGGGTACTTGGATCCTGAATATTCCAGGACTCTACAGTTAACGAAAAAAAAGTGATGTTTATAGCTTTGGAAAGGTATTGTCAGAGTTAATAACTGGGCGAAGTCTGATCGAAAAAGGGAGTTACATTGTGAGTGAGTTGAAGTTGGCAATGGATAGGGAAAAAAAATTATACAACCTCCATGATATGCTTGATTATGCCATCAGTGAGGACACAACATTAAGTGGTTTGGTGAATTTTGTTTTGGGAGCCAACAGGCCTACAATGAGTAAGGTAGTAAAATAGATTGAAAACATCCTGCAGCTAGCTAACTCTGATGATCTCTAATCTGAACCATTAGTGTTTTCTATTAGTTTCAATTAACCTTGATAATTTGAATATTCTTAAGAGGAATATCTTATTATTAGATTAAGATTCTTTTTCATTGAAAGTAGTTTTGACTAAGTCAATCGTACTTTTCCATAAAATAGATAATCAGTATTGGGTCTTTATTTTTTCAGCCATTGCCCAAGCCCTCTTTGCTGTTGAACTGCTTCCTCCACATAAATCCTTGAAGGTTTTATGTCTTTAAGCAGAGTGTTCAACCCAGATATTGAAAAGCTCG